GCAGAGGAGGCAGGGCTGAGGAAGCTGGGGGTGCGGGGCAGGAGTAGGGTGGGGGTAGGTGTCTGGCCCGGGGGAGGAGGCAGGAGCAGGCTGGGGCCAGGTCGTCTTAGTGGAGGGAGGGAGTGATCGGGCTAGGGGTGCAGGGTCTCAGAGGAGGCATGGCTGAGGAAGCTGGGGGTGCAGGGCAGCAGTAGGGTGGGGGTAGGAGTCTGGCCCGGGGGAGGAGACAGGAGCAGGCTGGGTGGATGGGGGGGCTGAGGGTGCATGGACAGGGCAGGGGGTGTGGGGAGCCCCATTAGCTGGACTGTGGCCCATGGGAGCGCAGGGAAAGGCTCCAGACAGCACGCTTTGCACTGCTGTTCCCCCAGCCTGGGAGAGTGATGCTCAGGGCTCTCTCCCCTCAGCAAGGGGAAGCCAGAGCACTGGTGCTCCAGCTGCGCAGGAGAGGAGGGAGGGTGAGGCAGCAGCGCCAGGCAAGGGGGGCCCAGGTCGCTCAGGTCAGTGCCTCCACGTCTGCCTTGCAGAAGCCCCGCTCACTGCTGCAGCCCCGCACGTAATAGCCAGTCTGGCCTTGATCTCACCAGGGCAGCTCAGTGCTGGGCTCAGGACGCAGCCACTCAGGCGCGATGGAGGATGGGTCAGCAGGCGGCTGGGGACACGGGGCGCTTCTCCTGAGCCTGCTGGCCCAGCAGCCTGTGAGCGCAAGCAAGCAGCCCTGGAGCAAGTCACGGTGCCCCGGGGAGTAGGACCCTGCCTCTGTTCCCCGTGCGAGTGGGCTACGTCCTGGGCCTCGCACCAGCTAAAGCAGCCCCGGGCTAGGGAACGGACCACCCAAAAGGCCGCAGCAAGAACTCAGCAGGCAGGAACCTTGGGAGGTGGAATCTGCCCAGGCCGGGCTGCCAGTTTCTACCCTTTACATGAGACCTATATACCAGAAAGGTTATTCTGTTATTTAGCACAGTAGGCACCTCCGAAGCGGTTCTGCACGCACTGAGCGATGCCAGGGTTATGATACTAAATCATATTTTGCTCTAAGACAAGGCCGCATGGGTCAGAACGGAGACAGGCTATGACTTCTTCCACCTTCCAGCCTACCTGCTTTGTGCTGAGGTTGCACATTATAACATCTCCAGCTTCAGTAGCAACACAAACACACTCCTGATCTGGCAGATCTTCAATGCCCACAATACGACCACTTCCATCTTCCGGCAGAAAACCATCCACGGTCAAGGAAATATCGGTTGTCACCTGGCCAGAGAACAGATAATCAGCAAATGACTACGCATGACTTTGTTTAGGGTTATACAAATGCTAGAGGGGGCAACTATCTATTACGCTCTCGAGATGTGACACCTCAGAGAAATGCAGCATAAAAATAAACTCCCCACCACTGAGCCTGGCAAATCAGACCTCAGGCAGGGAACAGCTGGCTTTATTCTCCAATACATGGGAATACTGCACTGCTTTTCCAACTGCTTATTTCAGTGAACGAACAATCAACAAAGGGAAACACTCCTGCATAGAATGTTTCCCAATAAGTATCATTTTATGGCCCCTACGTCCTCCACTTCAAAAG